CCGGAAGAGGTTCAGCAGCGTCAGATTCTTCAACTCCGCAAAACTCGCCGGAACCTCGCCGGAGAGCATGTTGTTGGAGAGGTCCAGCGACTTGAGGCTCTTGAGGTTCCCGAGTGAGGGAGTGAGGGAGCCGGAGAGCGCATTCACCTGGAGAAACAACGTGTCCAGGTTCTGGAGGTTCCCGAGCTGCGGCGGAATCTCGCCGGAGAGTCCGCAATAGGCGGCGTCGAAGCGGACGAGGCCGGAGAGGTTTCCGAGCTCCGGCGGGATGCCGCCGGAGTAGGTGTTGTAGTAGCCAATGTAGAGTTCCCGGAGCGAGGTGAGGTTGCCGAGGTGCGGCGGGATGTGGCCGGCGAGCTCGTTGCCGGAGAGGGCGAGGTATTGGATGTGGCGCCAGGAGCCGTACTCCGGGGGGATCTGGCCGGAGAAGAAGTTTCCGCCGAGGTGGAGGTGGCGGAGGAGGGGCATGGCGGCGACGGCGAGGGGGAGGGGGCCGGTCATGTTGTTGTTGTAGAGGTCGAGGACTTGGAGGTTGGCGAGAAGCGCAAGCTTGGAGGGGAAGGTGGCGTTGAAGACGTTGTTGGAGAGGTTTAGGAAGCGAAGGTTGGTGAGCGATGAGAAAGAGAGAGGGATGGGACCTGAGAACTTGTTGTCGGCGAGGGAGAGGTTGGAGAGGAAGGGCAAGTGGGAGAGGTGGTCTGAGAGGGTCCCGGCGAGGGAGAGAGACGTGAGGTTGAGAGCTATGACGTGACGGTGGGAGTCGCACGTGAGGCCGAGCCACGTGCAGTGCGGGGTGGAGGGGGTCCAGGAGGACAGGGCGCGGCTGGGGTCGTCGGTGACGGAGGAGGCTTTGAAGGCGAGGAGCGCGTTGTACTCGGAGACGCGCGCGGCATGGAGACGGAGGGTGTTACATTGGAGGAAGAGAAAGAGGAAGAGAAAGAAGAGACGCATTTTGTGTGTGGGAATGAAGAATGAAGGAGAGGTAGAGCCAAGGGCGTGTCTATTTGTGTGTTTGTTTGTGACTGCTACTGAGAACTACTGAACTACTGAACTACTGAACCACTGAGTGAGTGAGTGAGTGAGTGAGTGAGTGAGGAAGCGTCCTGGCCTTATCGTTCAAACACACACACACACAATTGTCACACGATTTAAGGGTTGTCTCTTCTAATTTGGTCCCCCCCTTACACAACTAACGTATTTTTGGTAACGATGAATGCACAAGATGGTAAATAGTTTATATTAAAAAAAAAGTTAATTATACAAGTTTAATTGCGTTTAGTTTTAAAAAAATTATACAATGTCTGATGTATTATTCATCATATCATTTTACTATATCTTAATAAATAATTGACTTAAACAGTGTGACTAGGGCGATCAAAACGGATTAGTTTAGTGTGATTGATTAAATTTACATCAACTTGACGCACCACAAATTGAACCCGAGTGAATTAGGTCGAAAGTGGGATGTATTGAGTTTTATGACCAATAATATTTTTTTTTTGACCCAATCCAATCCATTTTCAAGGTGGGTCAAGTTGGTCCATGAGTCAAAACCCACTTTGTCAGTTCTCTGTGTGACCCATTGAAAAGACTTTTCTAGAGTTTGTATGCCTCTTAGTGTGTTAGTGTATTTGGGCAATAATCATCCCATTAATAATAATTAAAAGAATGACTTAGATGATACATATCTAAATAAAAATAAATAAATAAATTTTGAATACATAAAAATTATTGAAAAAACTAAACTTACTAAATGTGAATCTTTCTTAACTTAAATATAAATAGTTTTTGTATCGCATAACTCATACCATGCTTGGCCAAGTTGAGTTGTCCTTATCGGGTTGCTCGTGATATAGGCTCTAGGCCAAATCTACAAAACAAACATCAACATCACCTAATGGTCTCAGGAACATAACAGATCAAATCTTCTATCTTCCCACAACTGATAAGGAAACCACCATATCATCTTCAATACTCAATTATTTATTGCAACATGCATCTTGCTTAATGATAAGATCCACTCACCTATATAAAAGGCACAATGTATAATTTTAATTCATCTCATACTCTACAACCTAAATCCCTTTTAACTTGAGCCTTAAAGTCTCTTTGCAAGTGCATCTCATCACTCGTGTTGGAGAGCGAAGGTCATTGTCCATCTCGTTGGAGCACTTGTAGTTTCATGTAACAACATTTAGTAATCACTGTGGAATCGAAGTGAAACAATCCCTCAACCATACATGGTATCCACATGAAACTAGGCCACCAACTCAAATGCCACAACATCCATGGCAACAACAAACCTTGTGTTATACCAACCGTTGTGATTTCCTTTATGTTTGTGTTGTGTTGTGATTTCCTTTATGCTTGATTCTATATTGTGATAAATATATCCTAATTTTCAATCACCAAAATGCTATAAATTTAATAAAAAAAATATAGACTACGAATATGTTTGTAACTTATGATTGGTAGTATATTTTACTTTACTTATATGTACGAAGATAAAATATGATAATATCTATATAGGAAGGATCCGTTTACTCTTGGAGTAAGTTTACATAGACTTAATTCGTTTAATAACTCATGTTCTATATCAAATTTCAACGATCCAATCATTGAATTTAAAGTTTTTAATGCATATATCAAGTTTGCAAATTTTTAAAACAATTGTAAATTATTTGATACTTTATTTCATTAATTCAAATTGACAGATAATCATAAAATTATTTTATACGTTGATTTGAATTAATGAAATAAAATATCAAATAATTTTCAAATTTTAAAAAAATTTGCAGACTTAATCTACACATAAAAAACCCAAAAATTTAATAGTTGGATCCTTAAAATTTGATGCAGGACATAAATTATTAAACGAGGTAAATTTAGATAAACTTACTCATAGAACAAATCGATCCCCCCTAATATATATATATATATATATATATATATATATATATCCCAGGAAAAAAAAAGTCAAAAAGTTTACTACTCATTCTCAATATAATTATATATTGATATTGGTAAGTAAATGTATATCAATATATAATTATATTGAAAATGAGTAGTAAACTTTTAACATTTTTTTCCTGGAATATATATATATATATATA